TCATTTTGGTCTCGTGAGACTCCATAGGCAAGCAGACGTCCGTGGCCAACCGACATACACATATAAACTGCAGAAACACGCCAATGTCCAATATGTGGCGCTGGAACTATTGTTGAAAGAAGAAACAGAGCTAATGTGCTAGCTAATTGGATAGTCCCTTCAAAATTCGTCAGCAATTCAGCCTGGCGTGCCTCCTGTCATCGAGTAATATATTCCTCAATAATTATCGAATGGAATATTCTAACGTGCGTGTTTAATAGAGGTACTTTGCGGCTAGTATATAACATTTGAAACGGTAACTTCTTCAAGGCCTGTCATAGAACCATGCCGAGGCAGTAGTGTTATGGCTTCTGACGAAGTCTCTGGCGCCTTCCTGTGCAGCAGCAGGCACCCACTCCAATTCTACATCTTTAACCCTGCAATGTAAGGGACTGCATTGGGCAACCTCATGGTCGGTATTGGGCCATTTCCAAGGCAAAGGAGGTAACTGTGAATACACAATGCCAAGCAGTGCCACATAGGCAGGGCATATCCGGAATATACTTCTCTTCAAAAGCACTCACTTAAAACTACTGCACTATAAGTTATGTATATATATGGTGACATATGTTATATTTGAGATAACACTTTCTTAGTAAAGTACAAATTCTGAGTTCTTCTTTGGGTCGTAGTCCCATCCGGGATTCAACTTGTCATCTTCTAAGAGTCGGGTACCAAATCGCTGGTACACAAAGTCCAGTGGAAGAATTGGAGTGGAAGTTGCGCTGGTTGAGCGGGGATAGGCGGCTGACTTTGTGCTAAGGATTTAGCGCCCTGACTCTGAGGGTGTGGGTTCGAAGATCCCGGATGGAAGACTCAACAAAGCCAAACAACCTCCACACTAACCCCGTACAAGAGTGTTTGAATCTGTACTCTACCAAAAAGTGTGTTATCCTTTAAATATACATGTAAATATATGTTACATTTGACCACTTCGCTTATAAATGGCATTGTGTAGTCAGTACATATGGTTACATCGAAGATTGACTTCTCCACTAACTTGGGGAACCAACTGCAAACTTTTATGCAGATAAATCTCGCACGAGGGATCATGCGCGTAAAATTGCTGAAAAGCATGTGCAAATATCGTGCATGTGGAACAGCTGCGTTGGTGTAAAGGTTTGTTAAGAATTCGCCAATTTTCACTGATTTTATCATTTACTGAACTCATGACAATAATCTTTTCAACGTTACGAATTTGTTTTACAATACACTAAGTTCATGTGTAAACAGTACCCCTAAAAGAGTATGGAATATTTTGCAAAATTTAGTTTGGACCAGCTTGACTGGAAGTAAGTGGCTATATTTGGCACTAGTGAGTCTAAACTTTGATGTGAAGTATATATGTAACTTTATATGTTACAACTGATAAGTCCAGTTTCCACCATTGTCGAATGGACTGGGATTATGGTGCTAAATTTTGGCCAGACTAACGAAACTAAACACAGTCCAATCAAAATCGCGTAACGAAATCAACATTCGGCTCATTAACTCTATGGCAACTACTGTTCACAGATTGATCAAGGTTGCAGGACTTTACAAGAACATGTGAGCCGTCAACTGACATACATTTCCAATCCAAAATATTTTCTTGTTTGTAATCAAGGTGGAAAATGATATTAACTGGCGCGTTCATTAGTGGCATTAATAATAGACACATTCTGTTGTAAAGCGGTATTTAAACATTTTTCATCGGATATTCCAGTCTTGGCGCATTATTTAAATTTAATGGCAGCCATGCTTAATGAATGCTATCATTATACGGGGGCGGTGGGGTAGCCTTAGTGGAGTTTAAAGCGTTGGCTCGTCACGCCGAAGACCCGGGTCTGATTCCCCACTCTGGGTACAATATGTGAAGCCCATTTCTGGTGTCTCCCGCCGTGATATTGCTGGAATATTGCTAAAGCGGCGTAAAACCATATTCACTCAATCACTGTCATCATATGACAGTGAAACGCTCCCCTTTATGAAGCGTACATAAAGATCGCACAAATCCTTTGGTTCTATTTTAGTCCTACTTGGTCCTGAAGTCGTAATGAGACTACATACCTCTAAAGTGACCAAGTCTATGTCAATCTATTTTAGCATGAATGCAAGAAGTACAAAGTATCAAGATTTTTTTTGCACAAATATATCTCTTCAAATCTTCTCAATGTTATTGCAGCCTAAATCTAGGGAATAATTAAGGTAAATAATTGATCGGACTTTGAATTTACCTCAAAAGAATCTATACCAATCCGTCATTAGAAGTGCAATGGAGGCATAAGCAAATTGCAAGTCTGTTTCTACAGAATAGCGAACTGGACAGATATTTATCGGCTACGTCTAGTTGGTTGGGAAATCAGCAAGTTATCAAGCACCAAGACAAATTCCGAGGTTGTGTGGCCCGAACGATGTAGTCGTAGCTGTAGCAGATGGAGTGGAATGAGGTTTAATTCCGTGTTGAAGCTTACTTCACTTATATTGCGACGTGCTAACCCAACCAGATAATTATACTGACTCCAGTCCGGCCAATTCATGTTTAGTCCCCGAAATGTAGAACACAAGCCAGGGTAACAACAAGTATCATGTCTAATGTCTTGTCGTGTAACGTGTGCAGGTCGTCCAGGGGCGTAGCTACCATTATGAAAAAAACCCGGGCTTACACATGATTGCTGCGAAAAAGGTGGGGCAAGCCCTCAATACTATCTAAATATAAAGCTTTGGAATCTATCGGGCTTACACGAAAAAATTGGTTTGCTACGCGCCTGTCGTCGAACCACCAACCATCCGCTCTCTGGGCAGATGCACCATCCACTGCTCCAGAGGCGATAGCAGTAGCAGTAGCAACGGCAGCAATACGAATGGAAATGGATATAGTGGATGAAGTACGACTGTGCATGGGTGGTAGGAGTAGTAGCATACCTATTATTAGGCTTACTGCATTTTGTTCTGTCTTTCCGTCAACCACCCGTTAAAGTTAGTTAATTAGTGGAAACAACATATCGATATTTTCGCTCGCCCCTCTCTTCCTCGCTGAGGCTGGAGACGAGAAACCAGTATTGCCTTTGTTGTAGTAGAGACGATGGTCCGTCTTACCTCAAATAGTGATCTTCTCCTCATACATGGCGATGAGCAGCATACAGAGAAAACCTGACAACATCCCAACGTTGTGCATCACAAACACTAACTTCCGGTTTCTCGAAACGTTGTTGATAAGAGACGGTAACTGCAAGTATACATAAGTCCTTTGTACAAGTGCCCCAGAGTTGATAAGAGAAAAGAGCGGTATTTGTGTGGTACTACTCTAGTGTGTGTCCTACATACATGCAGAAGAGACGATTAGGGGCCAGGTCAAAGTTGTGTAGGGGAGACATTTTGAGACATAACCGCATTGCAAATGGGGGACATATTTCAATATGAAACAGATATTTGTTACCTGCGTGGTTATCAGGCGTTTAATGCGTAGAAAAGTTGTAATAGCCGATGCCCCTCGCCTCGCCACATGGGTACAATGTGTGAAGCCTATTTCTGGTGACCACGCCGTGATATTTCTAAAATATTGCTAAAAGCGGCGTTAAACCAAACTCACTCACTTTGAGGAGTTGCGTCCCTTGAACATGATCCGCAGGTCGGTCCGAATCCCATCAACGTTTCATTAATAACCCTTTGTAGTAAACCTTAAATGTAGTATGTACCTAAGACCATTATCACTACCAACTTTTCTCCCACTTTAAACCGACACACCGTGATACAAACGAAACGCGCAACGTGGTGGAAAGCCAAACTCAATAAGTCATTTAATAAGGCACTTCCATTCTCCATTAAAATTGAACGATATCGTTTGTAACTGACCAGATCGACCAGTGCAATGTAGAGGAACATCCCGGCAGTGACAGCAAATATCCACCGTCGGACCAGTGGGTCTGCGGAGACAGAGATTCCGATGTACAGCCCGAGAAACGCCGTCAGGGCAGACGCGAAATTCCAGCACAGCGCACTCTTGTACGACATCCCGCTCGCCAACAGCACTGCGAAGTCACCTGTGATAGTAGAATTATATGTAAAATTTAGATTTGATATTTAAAAAGTCTCAGTACCAAAATTTATCATATAAGGCGCTTACATTTATTGTTTTTGGTTGCGTCCAGTAGTGAATGAGTGAGTTGGGTTTTACGCCGCTTTTAGCAATATTACAGCAATATCACGGCGGGGGACACCAGAAATAGGCTTCACACATTGTACCCATGTACCATCGAACACGGGTCTTCGGCGTGACGAGCGAACGCTTTAACCACTAGGCTACCCCACCGCTCCGCGTCCAGTTGTGCCATACAATGATGATGATAGTTGGTTCGAGTCCATGTTTCGACCTGATGGTATTCGTCAGTACACGTCACTTCGGGCTATCCTTAAACGTTAAGTTCACACGCCGTAACGTAACTGAAATACTGTTTGAAACGACTCACTCACTCACTCAGTTATGCGTGTCATATTTTAGTTGATCCTTGTTATCTGTGTCTCCTTGTGGCTGGGGAAATTATTCGACTAATTCGACGCTCGACCCGTCCCTACAACTTTATTTATTTACAAATACATATGTCATTCGTGTCACCTATTTGTGATTTGATATAATATTCTAACATAGCACGGCATTTTAAAACACACGCCACAAGCCACCACCAGACAAAGCCAGACCACCTTGCTTGGGAGCTTGAAAAGATCATGTAAATCTGGGTCATTATGAGAAATATATCCATAACCTTCGTAGTACCAGGGAGACTATATATGTTGTGGAGTATCCCTGGTAGTACAGGGTTTCAGTTTGGACACCTCGAAGCACTGCTTACTTACCCAGTTCATGCGGCAGTTCATGGCAGAAGACGGCGATGCTGGTGGTGATGCCGCTTGTGACGCTGAGACTGAAGGCGGCGCCAACCACCAGACCGTCGGCGAAGTTGTGAATGCCGTCCCCGATTATCACCATTAAGGCAAGCGTTGAAAAAGCTGAAACAAACCCAAATGGATAAAACGCCAGAATATGATTTGATCGAGCGTCTTGCCATTCAAACTGATCGGGTTGGTGGTATAATAAGATCAACAAGACGACATGTAGCTTATATTAATACATTACGTAGGAGTTTCCAGAGATTTACCTGTGTAAGTTTACTTTAGAGGCATGGGCTCTCATGAATAAAAGTAGATAAAAGCAGTGGTTTTATTCCAATGGTATAAACCAAATATAGTTCGGCAATCGTGGCATAACTGCCATAAAACGGACCACAGATCCATAGTTCCGTCTCTCTGTCGAATCCTAACTTCACTCGGCTAAGGGTCCTTTGGAATGTCAGCACCTTGTCCTTACTGTTACCTACTTGCATATTCACCCCTAAGCCCTCTACGTTCTGTTTAACTTACAAGGCGACTCCCGTGGGCTCTCTTTTCCGATAATTCCTTTTGTTTCTTTTTTCTGAAACGAAAGGAGTCTGTTGCAATGAAACGCTATACTTGTGATAGGGTTTCTTCTAGAACAACGAAATACAGACATAGTAAGCTTATTATGTACACTCCCCAGGGAGTTGAGATTGATAATACGATGTGCCGTTGAGATTGACATCCAATGATCGAGGGGAAAAATACCTGCGCCTTGAGCATGCACTAGTTGCCTGGATATGTGCGCTATATAAATATCCTATAATAATAAATAATAATAATAATTATCTTCAACTTTGCGTACAGGACGACTCTCAGCATCCAGACCAAAACATAAGAAGCGTATATGGAGAATATCTGCGATAAAGTACATGCAGTTACCAGATGTAAGGATGGTATGGATTTTAATATATTCTTTGCGACGTTTGGGTACAGACTGCAGTGCCTATGATATGCATCATCAACAAGTTGGTGGTTAAAATCGCGAGTATGGTTTTACGCCGCTTTTAGCAATGTTCCAGCAATATCACGACCTGGGACACCTTCACACATTGTAGCCATGAGATTCGAACCTAGGTCTTCAGCGTGACGAGCGGACGCTTTAACCATTAGGCTACCCAACCGCACCATCTCCTAGTGAATCTAGTGCTTAAAGCGTTTGCTCATCACGCCGAATGCCCGAGTTCGATTTCTCACGAGTGCAATGTATAGAGCTGATTCTTGAAGCTCATTCATCTCTTTAGATATTGCGAAAGGCAGCGTAAAACCACACTCACTCACTGACTCACTGATACAAAGACAGTGAACACAGACGTAAGAATTGTAAACACTTACATGGTCAACAGCAATTTGGTTCAGTTCCACAGAAGAGTGATTGTGAGAATGCTGGAATCAAAGAACAAAGCGGCTGTGTATTACACGCAAGTCGACTTTTCCGCATTGATTGCACTTTATCTACAAGCTTCAACAGACACTGACATACTTTGAGAAGGGTCTTTCGTTACTTTATATATCTATATTAAGGAGTTATCCAAATACAATATTCTATATTAGACCGAACTATACATAAAAACACCTCATAAATATCACTTAAAAAGTCGTTTGTAATATTATTGGTTTATCAGATAAATTGAAATCAATTCACCTCATTCTCTCGTTAATCTACTTGGGACCACACGCACATTTTTATATGTATGCAGTCGCCCTTAAACTACATAGTGCGTACATGTAATGGCGCTATATTACTAATCTTCGAATATTCGAGATATAGAAATCACATATACTGGTCTTAATGCTCAGTTTAGTCCTTAAATTTTAATATCTCCTCGCTGATTGGCTGGACTGAGAAAGTTCACCTGACGCGACCTCTGATGGACGTATTGTCAGATCTTTATTCAAAGGTGTATCGTAGTGGAGTAAAATATCTGATGTAAATGAAACTTATGTTCAGTCGAACCGTTACTGTTTGGGAGGCTTGGTAAGTGAACTAGTCCAGTATAACAAGCAAACATGTCATTACCGTGTGTCCGGATCCAAGGATTACCATGAAAGACTCGATCAGATAGAAGCCATAGGTACCTGCCATTTAAAGAACATGTTATAGACAAGTCATATAAATGTAGGGCTGTAGAGGTCAATACAGTTTGTTTATTCAAGAAACACTAAGTTCCAACAGTCAACACTAAGTTCCAACAGTCAGTACTTCACACGGGGCGGTGGGGTAGCCTAATGGTTAAAGCGTTGGCTCGTCACGCCGAAGACCGGGTTCGATTCCCCACATGGGTACTATGTGTGAAGCCCATTTCTGGTGTCCCCCGCCGTGATGTTGCTGGAATATTGCTAAAAGCGGCGTAAAACCAAACTCAGTCAGTCAGTCAGTCAGTACTTCACACGCCTACCCTTCGAAACGCAACCTTGGTTCAAGCTAGAGGGGTAACCGTACAAACGTCTCAAACAAATGGCAGTGTATGTCGTAGCCTTGCGACAATCTGCTCCACACTCCGAAGCGTCAATGTAGATGATTCAAGTATGATTTCCAGAAGTATTAAACGGTCACATTTCACTTGTTAACTAAATATAGATACACGTCACTGAGTGAGTGTGAGTGAGTGAGTTTAGTTTTACGCCCCAATCAGCAATATTCCAGCTATATGGCGGCGGTCTGTAAATAATCGTGTCTGGACCAGACAATCCAGTGATCAACAGCATGAGCATCAGTCTGCGGAATTGGGGACCGATGACATGTGTCAACCAAGTCAGCGAGCCTGACCACCCGATCCCGTTAGTCGCCTCTGACGACAAGCATGGGTAACTGAAGATCAATGTTCTAACCCGGACCTTCACGGGTTTACACGTCACTAATACCACAAGTTCTTCAATGGATTTAAGGAGAATGGAAGAGTAACATGTGTGAAAATGGACGGCGAAATATGAAGAGTACACGACAAAACTCTTCATCTCCCATCCCCGTTCACATGCGTCTTTAACAGTTGAAAGGACGTGTGAGGTTGTTCAACCTTCGTCCGTCACCCATACAATTTTTGGTTTTAACATGTTTTGAATGTGCCTCGTAACACACCTTATATTTCAGTGGGATCGAACCTGCAACTTTCGGGTTTCGTGTTTTCTCCTCTCCATCGCTTTTACATTCTCAGGGGCGGTGGGGTAGCCTAGTGGTTAAAGCGTTGGCTCGTCACGCCGAAGACCCGGGTTCGAATCCCCACATGGGTACATTGTGTGAAGCCCATTTCTGGTGTCCCCCACCGTGATGTTGCTGGAATATTGCTAAAAGCGGCGTAAAACCAAACTCACTCACTCACTCACTTTACATTCTCACTTTATTCCCTGGAGTCGTGTATTATCCTTAATATATGCAAATGTATACTGATATGGACCGATAAATCGTGTCTCACCCGCGATAAGTGCAACAGCATACCAAGTATATTCTTCTATCACTGGACCGGAAGACTGGTTGTGCGCATGCTCATCTTCGTGGTCGTGAAGGCCGAAAGCCTGACAGAAAGGATTGATGTTAACGAAAATGTTATTCAAAACAAAGATTCAGAGAATGCATCATGTGAGTTACAGTGAAATCAGTAACAGACTGAACTGTCTATTTCTACTAGGTACCCATGTACACAACTGACCTGAGGTATGAGATGCAAGATGGCGTCAGTAAACAGCGTGCCGACAGCAAGGCCAAGGAAGACGGACATGAACGCCTCGTGACAGGTGCCCTTTGGGAGGGGGAAGAGGATGGCGCCCAGTACGGCGCATAAGCAGATGATGAGAGTAGCCAAGGAGCCGTACCCGTAACCTGCAGCAAATGATTATATGACTCCAAATTTGGCAGATAATGGTAACTGTTTCATTGTGAGTTTCCACTCAAAAGCGTATGTACCAACAATGGAGGGATTTGTGATGCACCTCTGATACAGAGCCTCCTGCGTGTACTCTGCGGTATAGACCCGGATGTACGTTCTGAAATGATGTACACAGATGTTGAGAACCAGGACATGGCCACCGATCTCATCATGGACGCCATAACTGGTTGTCTCTTGTTTTACTCTGGGTTGGTACTGAGACTTACTTCTGCCATTGTGGGCATGTCAGTTTGTGTGATGTTTCACACTTGAGTTACGACTTACTTACTTGGTTGTGTGGTGTGGCGTTTTACTTACGTTCTGTCATGGTGGTCGTGGGTCCATGTGTGGTGTTGGGTGTGGAGACGCATGACCCTGCCACCTGCATATACATCAGGGTGGGACACAACTCCACAAACTTGTCCTTAGTAATGACGTCATCCTGGCCCAAACCGCTGATTGCTTTTATCTCACCGACAGAGTAACACTTTTTGGTGACCTTTAAATGCGAGTAAAAGTTCAACTGATATATGAAAAATAAATAAATAAAACAGTAGCAAAAGTAGGGATTAGATATCGAATGCAATTGATATACTGGGACTATATTGCAACGTTTCCCCCGGTCACTGAAATGTATAATCTATCAATTTTAACCTGTTTGTTGTTCGACGACAAACTCTCTGTTCCAGAATCCAGTAAATAATTTCCCATCTTATATATTTTCAATGCTGCAATTTGTTTCTATACATATTTTCATACACTAATGTGGAGGACAATCCTTATCTAAACGGCCCACGGGTACGATAGCACCAAAGATGAAATTTGTACAACCTACCAGGATTGTTGAATGGCTGTGACCTTCACCAGCCTGTGTCAGCCCACGGACAACACTGTCTGCATCTGCATCGACGACGTCACTCCCCGCGCTTCTCCTGTGCCCTGAGTGGTCGGTTCGCTCACCCTCCAAGTTCAGCTTGACGAGCAATGCACTCAGCTCTGTACATCGTAAGTTGTGATTGTCATTTAGCAACCAACACTACTGTATAAGTTCCAACACTATTCTATACTTGGCAGTGACGGCAAGTTCTACCGAAATGTGTCATGCTATTTTCAATGGATATAGAAGATTGTTGATTCTTAGGTTCACAACATTTCCACTGAAGAAATATTGATATGGAAATTAAGAAGGATACTTATTCGTATTTCTTCATGGGGACAATGAACGTAGCTTTTATACATCATAATTTCATGTTGGTACCTGTGTCCATGATGGTGTTGTTTGAGGCGTCGATACGAACAAAGAGGTCGTCGAGGATGGTCTGCTTTGACGGGAGCAGACGACATGTCTCCTTCATTGTCGACCCTGCAATATGAAACAGCGATGAACATACCAACTATGAAATCAGCGTGTGAATGACAAGAAGATAACATTTACAGCTCTGAATGAGTTGTATTCTTTTTGAGTATGGCTGTCCCGAAGTTTCGCTTCATGGGCGACTACAAAAGAACATTACTGTTAGTGAAGTTCGTGATTCGTTAACAATTTGTTGAATTAATCGTTTCGTCTTGCTTTTAAGTTACTGTACAAAAATGCCATGGTTGTCTGACAAAACAGCTTCTGACACCTGCCTCACTTTCGGCTTTTGCAAAAACCCGTCGCCGTGCAAATAAAACTTGACAGTATATTCATAAAATATAATATTCCAAATGAATGTTTTCAAACAAGGCACTGAAAAAAGCGAAGGTTTTATAAACACGAACAAGGTTTTAATAGTTAGTGGGTCAGTTGAGGTTTACGCCGCTTTCTGCAATATTCCAGCTATATGGCGGTTTGATAAACTGTTACACATCGACATCGATTTCAAGGAAATACATGGCCTGGTTTTGATCTTGTATAAGCGATTTAATATATGCAGGCAAATGGCGTCATAACTGATTTGACCCACATGACATTCACACCCGCTGTACACATGCGTTGTCAGGCGTTACGTTACACAGTCTCTGATTTTAACTGACAAAAAGTGTGGTCAAGACCTACCCTCAAGAAGATGGTAGACAATGAAGGCGGTGATATCTGCAAGTTTGTCCCTGTTGATATTTTCACTCTCCACACCAAGCTGGTAGAATGCTGCGTCTACGCTGACACACTGAAGAAACAAGTCAAAAGCATGAAAGGAGTTGGGTCATTTGTAATACAACATGGATACCACTCACAACTCAAAACAGGTTAGATGAATGTTGAAGGCGGGAGCAACGTTGCCCCAATATACTGACGTTTTGGTTCAGCCATTTTCCACCTTTCTATCTAACATACTCGCATCGACATCCATTTAGTGTGATATAAAAACAAATCCGAATAAACGCCAAATAGCTTATGCAGAACGAGTTGCATAGAGGTAACACAAGACAAGAATTGAGATAGTTCTCAGTAAGAATAACTAAACATAATATCCTTGCGTCATGGGTAACCATTTTCTTTGTTATCGTCAACACAAGTGCATTGTTCGCATTAGTATCTTATGTTAGAACGAGGTTATCACGCATGTGTGCTTTTGGATTGTAAATATCCTTCATCTCGAATAATTATAAAGATTTCTTATTACTAGAGGTTTACCATCCCAAAATGTAAGCTTTGTTGGTCCTTAATCGTATAACGCCACTCGTTTCAGTCGATCGTTTACAAACAATACCTAAACATGACAAATTATCCTGGAACTCCATCACGAGGCCTTGGATGAGACAGTGGCGACAGAGAACAATGAACATTGTTCAAACTGAAATTTGTATTTTGAAAGCATCATAAAGTCAAAACAAGTGCTTCAACATAGTCAATGATCGCCTTCCGCGGTAGTGTCATCAGTCGGCCAGCTAGAATAACTTCCCTTTATCAAAGGGAATCTACTCTAATACATTTTACGTCTTTTGGAGTCTGTCTGGCACTTCATAGTGCTATGGAATGCTCCCATTGTTACGCAAATTATATGTTTGTCACCGCCAGCATAAGGTTTCACTTGTGTTCTTGACCAACACTAGTCTGGTTCATTGACCACTATATTGATACTGATGAGAATTATCCCAATAAGTAATCCCGATATCAGAGAGTCACTTTTGACTCAATTGGGTTACAAGGGTAGCACCATTTGTGTTTGTAATGATAGAAAACCTGGTAGACGTTTAATATTGCATTAACGGGGACAGTTTCTTGTGCGTTACGTCATGCATTATACAGAGGATTAATATAACTCGTTTGTTTAACATTACCTGCTCCTCCACCACTGGCACCTCCTTGACATGACTAAGGTCGTCGTGGCCTTCACGCTGGTCCTGTTGAGAATCCTCCAGTATAATGGACTTTGCAATGTGTTCCAGGACATGTTCAATACTCCCCGCCTCTATATCCCCGTGACCTTTCTCGGAGAAGACGCTCAGAACTTTCTGGAGATAATACTCAAACGTGTTGGTTTCCGGACTGACATTCTGTCGACAGTAGTTGGTGATGTTGTAGATGTAGTAGAATATGACGACGGAGGCGTTGTCAAACTGCTCCTTCGTCAGACCCTGGGTCATGTCAGCACCCACGACAGTGAACAAACCGGAGACGTTCAAACACTGGATATGAATGATATCATGCATAAGACGCTTAAGACACTACCAGAATCCATGCATTTATAGAATGAGTTGTGTTTAATGCTGCATTGACGGCACGTTTTTCCTAAACTTAGAGATGGTACCGAAGTGGTAATATATTTTTCGCCGACCTTATCTAAACAAATATTGCGTGAACTGTAATTCTAACTAAATAGAAGGCGTGAAAATATGAAAATAAGCTGTTTATTTATGATTTTAAGGCATAACAAAACAACGATACTCTCGGGGCTGACTGACTGGACCGAGTATACGTATGAATTGGACCTCAGTGTGTAATGTTAATGTTTGTGAGTCACTGAAAAACTGTGTCAAACACCTTCAATAGAAACTCCATTTCCGACTCGGCAGTCTTAATAAATCTTATTAGAATGAAACCAAGTTCAAGCTTTGTTCAGGTAAGCTTACCAAATTACATTAATGACACGTCCGTCAACAGTACAGATATTATGACATCATCGTGGCCAATGTGACTTCTAAGCTCTATGTTGTTTTGCGCTAATTAATGCTATACTATAGGTATGCAACATTGCGGGTTCATATTTCATCTATGCTTGTGACAGATAAGAACATGTACATGCATATGTTTGTCTCGTTTTTTGTGGGGTATGTGTCTAGTCTGGGATATATCACATTAACACGTTAACAGCTGACGTCAGACATGCTAACCACTGGCGCATTATCTTCCTCTGTGACAATACACAACGTTTTATGTAGCACGGGTTTAGTCACACATGAACCTGACTAGTATACAGATTACAGTGAACTATGGAAATAGAAGCGACAAAACCCTAAGCGACCATATTCATACGAAATCTCTGCTAAAAGCAGAATCGATTGTACAATTGTACAATGAGGAATTGTACAACATCATGAATTGACTATATCATGAGCATATATTTGTTTCAGCAGCATTACGGCTGTATGATGTTGCGCCTGGACCAGATAGTACAGTGATTGCAATGTGATGACAGAGGATGTGTCTATGAATCACTATGAACTAGTGATGATACCAGGTGTTCGCGAAAGATTAGAGTATCCCGCACAACCGGTGGCACCTGTCATAAACATAGCCCAGCGAGCCTTTGTGCAAAGCGATTTAGCGCTAAGGTGATCGTAGCTGACCTTCGTGGCGCTGCGATCGAGGTTCTTTCGGCAGAGAATCGTCCGTGCGTGAATGTCATGTAAACATTCGAGTGAGTGAGTGAGTTTAGTTTTACGCTGCACTCAGCAATATTCTAGCTATATGGCGGCGGACTGTTAATAATCGAGTCTGGACCAGACAATCCAGTGATCAACAGCATGAGCATCGATCTACGCAATTGGGAACCGATGACATGTGTCAACCAAGTCAGCGAGCCTGACCACCCGCCTCTTACGACAAGCATTGGTTACTGAAGATCACTATTCTAACCCGGACCTTCACGGGTAATGTAAACATTCGAATCTCGGCCAAACAAACCAGTGTGCGAAAGGATGAATATCGACAAGGGCACGATGGTACACAAATTGCCAATAGACATTTTATAGTCCCGAAAATCGACATTTATGCCTTTACATTTAGCTTCATGTTAGATAAACAAATGAACGTGTATTAACTACAGACTCTAAATTGTACACAACAACCTGTGGCTCTCTGCCGTGAATTCGCAGGCGCTAAAATATGCCAGCAATATCCAAATAATAAAATGCAAAAATGATGGACTATAATCTTAATTTCAGAAATATAACAAGCAGTTGCCTTTGCCAAGTTCTGATAACTCCCCACCTATATCAAATTGATATGGATGGACGAAGTTAACAACCTAAAAAATGGTGCAATAACCTCGCACAACGCCAGATTGTTGTCATCCAGTTTGTTTCACTGACACCAGAAGCCAAACAATTGTTTTCGACCTAAATCTTTGAACAGATATCGTTTACAACATTTCCCGGGACCATACTCATGTAAGTCGACAAAGGAGGTTCGAGTACGCGTGAGTCAATAGAGTTCGTGTTAAAGAGGTGTTTCTGGTGTTTTTTAAGCCATCTTCCCTGCGAACACTAACACACGTCAACAGGAACAAAACAGTCGTGTGAACTAGGGCTGATGCGGACTTACTTTCCCCTCACGTTTCTAGAACCAATGTTGGACATATCACACGAAGACGTCAAATATGACCGCATTTATGAAAATTGAGGCGATTATGAAGATGGTTTATATTTGCGGCTTCCGTGTTTTCTAAATGCAGGAATTTTTCGCTGTAAGATGTTTAGTGCTGACGTAACATCACTTACAAAATACATGTGCTGCATGGTTTCAGCTGCAAATATTTTTATATGCCCATGTCTTATGGTTTCATGATATATACTTCTGATGTACCAGCAGAACGTAACTATTCCTCTGCAAAGTTATAATGAAACCGAAACATACAAAGTGAATGAGTGAATAATTTAACACTAATGTTAACAGTATTAAATCACCAAGTCAAAACATTGATTACACAACAGTCTCGTTTCCTGTTGACTGGGTTCCGTCCTTTTTGCGCAACTTAGTACAATAACCAGTCCAGAATTTTGAGAACAATTCATTTAACTGGATACATAAATATTAATCAGTATTATTTGATACATCTAAGCACTTGTATACGCTCCTTATAATCCTTGCAAACATGTTGTGCAGCGTGCTCTGTCGTACAGCCAGCACTGACAAACAGAAACCTGGAAATCGTGGAAATCTCAAAACGAGGCTCTCCCGCTAGAAACGTTTGGCGGTCTGGTACGGACTTGATATTATATCAATCACATTGTGCGTTACAGAACTACACTGAATAAGCGTGAAAAACACATAACAGCTGTAGCCAGTGAGCCAGATGCATTGTGAATCATTTTACGACCTCATCAAACTTGGGCTGTCTGTCACGTCTTAGTTATGGTCATGCTGCCTACACCTCGCCATAAATTATAGAAATGCGATGTTATTAAAGTTTAAAATTAAAATTCATTTGTAAATACCATTTTCTTATGAAACAAGAAATTGGAATTCAGTGTAACCATAGTTGTTTGTGATGTCTATTTTCACTTTTGTACGAGAACATTCGGATCGGCTGAAATGTAGGTGATTGTCTGAATAGGTTAATGAGACTCATGTTTCGGTTTGACTAGTCGGTTTGATGTAGGGGTAGAAAATATGAAGCATGTTTCTCAAAGCAATGACCGCTCTGGGTGTACATTTTTGTACGGGATTACATCATGTTTCCATCGAACCAAAGGTCAAATCATACGTTGATGTTAAGAGGCCGGGAGTTATGTAGCGACGTTGGAACAAGTTGTAAAACTAGGGTATCTCTCCCGTCACCGCGCTGTCACGGTCGCCGTCGAACAACAAACAAGGAAATCACTCACTTCCTACGACCTTTTCACATGTGACCTTCAAAGACGTGACATCTGGCGAAAATCAAGTGTTAGAGAGGTGATCGGTATGGCGGATCATGCAAACACTGTTAGGCTATCAGTGATAAAACATCTTTAATTTGTGGGTCGAGAGGTTAATTCAGTAGGTCAAACACCTACTTGACGAAAAAATCAACTTGTTTACGTAAGATATCAACGTCTAAGTTCAAGCAAACATGACGCTCCCTTACGTGTGGTTTACGAATAATGTTCTTAAACTCTAAACATGAATGAATGTGAATCGTTTTGCATCGTGTGAACTGAGTTACCGACAGCCCCATCCTACATGCTGGAAGAAACTGAAATAGATAATAGATTACGTGGAATGAAAACATTTCCATTGAACAGCAGTAGTAGTAGTAGCAGTAGTAACAGTAGTAGCAGTAGCAGTAGTATGGTATAGTAGTATAGCAGTAGCAGTAGTAGTAACAACAGTAACGGGAGTAGTAGGAGAAGGAGGACTAGCAGTACTTGCAACATTAGTAGTAGTAGCATTAGCAGTAGTAACAGTAGTAGTAGGAGAAGGAGTAGTAGTAGTAGCAGTCGTAGTAGCCCCATCCTACATGCTGGAAGAAACTGAAATAGATAATAGATTACGTGGAATGAAAACATTTCCATTGAACAGCAGTAGTAGTAGTAGCAGTAGTAACAGTAGTAACAGTAGTAGCAGTAGCAGTAGCAGTAGTATGGTATAGTAGTATAGCAGTAGCAGTAGTAGTAACAACAGTAACGATAGTAGTAGGAGAAGGAGGACTAGCAGTACTTGTAACATTAGTAGTAGTAGCAGTAGTAACAGTAGTAGTAGGAGAAGGAGTAGTAGTAGTAGCAGTCGTAGTAGTAGGAACAGAAGTAGTGGTATCATTAATCATTGATGACGCCAACGGCGACGATGATGATGACGACGACGACAATGACAACGACATTAATCTCGTGCCTCATGTAACCCGTGAAGTTCCGGGTTAGAATATTGATTATCAGTAACCCATGCTTGTCGTTAGAGGCGACTAACGGGATCGGGTGGTCAGGCTCTCTGACTTGGTTGACACATGTCATCGTATCCCAATTGTGTAGAGTTGATGCTCATGAAATTGAAGCATTATCGGTGACAAAGGCACGTTTATAAGGTTCAATGTTACCAGCCACATGAAGGCAGTAGGTGACCAGATCGAGTTAATACAAGAAGATCCAGTGACTGCGACATAAACATCGACCTACGCGGCATGATTGTGTGTTTTTGTGTGTGTGTGTGTGTGAGAGAGAGAGAGAGAGAGAGAGAGAGAGAGAGAGAGAGAGAGAGAGTGGTGTCTCCCGTTAGAAACCATCTACGCGCGAAGGTTCGGTGCTGAAGTTTAAAGGTGCTTCGGAACATGTTACTTTCGATACGAGCACAGGGACGGATACAGCCTTTTGAGAAAGGGATGTGTGCCCATCCGAGTTTCAATGGTCATATAACAAACTTTCTGGACGAAAGGGGGGTTGCGCACCCCTGCACCCCCACTCTGGATCCGCCTATGGATCAACATTACATTCCATCGCTACATTGGTAACAAAGAAAATATATCTTCATCTATAACTCACACACAAGTCTTTTGTAAATCTTTGTCATCTAAGTAGCTTATATAAGTCTACACAGACCTTAATGCTCTCGTACTTCCTGCGGGACGTGACAAAGACAGAGGACTCTTTAATAGGTAAATATTCCATGCATGAAAAGTCTAATTCCCCTTCAAATCCCACACGTCGGTAACATTTGTCCTTGCAATGGTAATCGGCCGTGCGGCGACCGTAACGGCCGTTGATGTCCGAGTATTTACACACGACGGTGGTGCATGTCCGAGCCAGGGCGCGGGAGATCGCACGTTCAATGTAACCTTTGCATGTTCAGTATCTACATTCCCACCTCAATCCAGCTTCTCGTGGACCGACAGAACACAATTAACACGAGGCTATGGGAAGGTGTTATTCTAGAAACAAAAATGGTTGAAATTATTTGATTGTGGGTAAGCTGCTCGCTTTGTGCCCCTGAGACAGAAGGAAACGTGTTGTTGTCGCCTATCAATTTCCCGCTAAGCGTATGCTTGCTTCGACACTGTATTGCAAAACGAACCTATTTTCAACTGTTTTTGTGTTTACTTTCAAGCAGCAAACTCTTCCCAAGTGCAAAGCTAAATATCATATCGCTTTTAGACAAAATCAGAAGTGGCGGAGCGGTTTGCCTGGAATCCTCGAACACCACTTGATTGTCTAGTGTGTTTACATAACGCCATCGCAAGACAGGTGGGCTTAATCAGGTGTGGTGCAAGACAACAAACGCAAACCTTTTTAACCCAATTGTGTGAGTGGCGAGTACTACGGGTAGAGCTAGACACGTTTACCCTTTTGTGAACACCTGGTGTCATATCTGATACTCATACTCCATTCTTAAAATGTTAACCGCTGTTTTTGACTTTTAAGTGCGATGGAATACTTTCGTCCGATAATCGAGACTTGTTACTCTTCGTCCTTCATAGTTTCTTTAGACATAAACTGATCACTGCTGATGATACCATTTATATCAATATTGTACACATTATGAGTGAAGAAAACCTAACTATGCACGCGTTTACAAACGTCCTGGAGAGCGCCTTAGACAAATTTCCAAAATTCACATCGTCGAATACATGCTATGTTATTTCATAATCAACTGTCCAAAATTAGCCCATAGCTGTGCGTTCACGTTAATTGTGTGGAAGTATTGCCTAAATTCGGTTCGACACTGTAGTCTTAAAAACTTAATAGTTTAGCCAGTGGTTAATGTCATGAGCACTGGTTCATGTCACCATCACGTTTCGTCCAATAATCAAGACTGGTTATTGTCTGTCATTGACGATATATATACTGAATGGGTTTCGTCGCGCTTATTAAATGCTAATGTGATTTAACTGGTTTCTTTCTCTTTAGATACCGTTCATATGTTCCCAAACGTTTAAGAGATTAATGTTTTAAAAAAAATAAACCAGAACATATCACCACTTACCACAGAATCGTCACATGGACCCGGACTGGTAGACTGGCATTGAAATTTGTGAAATAATACTTGAAGGAATTCCTCGGTCTTGGTCAAGTTGAGGCTGTCACCGTCTGTGATGTTTAAAGAGGCCAGAACCTGATGAAACACGTTAACTCTACCATGGCCGTGGTTGTCTATACCTGAGACTTCCAGACAGAGCGCTGGCGAAAAAATAGTCACAATTAGTACAATATCCAAAAAGAAGGTTGCCATGTCAAAGCTGTGTTTTCACCTGTGTGTCTGTTTAGCATCTAGGGACTTAAGAGGCTCACGCTGAGATGATAGGTGGAAGCCGTGTGCAAAGGTTTCACGACACAATATGACAGTCACGTGACAACAACGTACCGATTCATTTGGCTGTAAGCAATCACCTCTAAGACTTTCAGCGTAACGTAATACGGCATTGTTTATTTTGACTTTCGGACTAGCCGTTTCTCTGTCCGTAGATAAAGAAGAGCCAAACAATCACATTGGAACCAATAACATGTGTTTTTGTACAAACCATCCAGTTTGATCAGTGTACAATCTATCAAAGACTATTCTTTAGCCACATTAAGCCTACATGCTTTGAGACCCGTGAAGATGCGGGTTAGAACTGATCTTCAGTAACCCATGCTTGTCGTAAGAGGCGGGTGGTCAGGCTCGCTGACTTGGTTGACACATGTCATCGTATCCCAATTGCGTAGATTGATGCTCATGCTGTTGTTCACTGGACTGTCTGGTCCAGACCCGATTATTTACAGACCGCCACCATGTAGCTGGAATATTGCTGAGTGTGGCGTAAAACTAAACTCACTCACTCACTACATCCTTTGAGGAAATACACGTGTGGTATAGGTTTCGTCAAGGTTTGCTTCAGTCGTTCATCTGCCTTTATCATGTTTTATTGGTCTGCTTCAACAGTTTATTTGACTTTATCATGTTTCAGAGGGCTGTATGAACAGTTTATTTCACTTTATCATGTTTCAGAGGGCTGTATGAACAGTTTATTTGGCTTTATCATGTTTCAGAGGGCTGTATGAACAGTTTATTTGACTTTATCATGTTTCAGAGAGCTGTATCAACAGTTTATTTGACTTTATCATGTTTCAGAGGGCTGTATGAACAGTTTGTTTGACTTTATCCTTTTTCAGGGGCTGTATCAACAGTTTATTTGACTTTATCATGTTTTATTGGTCTGCTTCAACAGTTTATTTGACTTTATCATGTTTCAGAGGGCTGTATGAACAGTTTATTTCCTTTATCATGTTTCAGAAGGCTGTATCGACAGTTTATTTGACTTTATCATGTTTCAGAGGGCTGTATCGACAGTTTATTTGACTTTATCATGTTTCAGAGAGCTGTATCAACAGTTTATTTGACTTTATCATGTTTCAGAGGGCTGTATGAACAGTTTATTTGACTTTATCCTTTTCAGGGCTGTATCAACAGTTTATTTGACCTTATCATGTTTCAGAGGGCTGTATGAACAGTTTATTTGACTTTATCATGTTTCACATTGATGTATCAACAGTTTACTTGACTTTATCATGTTTCCAGAGAGCTGTATCAACAGTTTATTTGACTTTATCATGTTTCAGAGGGCTGTATGAACAGTTTATTTGACTTTATCCTTTTCAGGGCTGTATCAACAGTTTTTATGACCTTATCATGTTTCAGGGCTGTTGAACAGTTTATTTGACTTTATCATGTTTCAGAAGGCTGTATCGACAGTTTATTTGACTTTATCATCAGAGGGCTGTATCAACAGTTTATTTGACTTTATCCTTTTCAGAGAGCTGTATGAACAGTTTTTGTTTCAGAGGGCTGTATCAACAGTTTATTTGAATTTTATCATGTTTCACATTGATGACAGTTTATATCATCATTTTTCAGAGGGCTATATCAACAGTTTATATCATCATGTTTCAGGGCTGTTAGTTTGTTTGACTTTATCCTTTTCAGGGGCTGTATCATTTGACTTTATCATTTCACATTGATGTTTCAACAGTTTATATGCCTTCATCATTTTTCCAGAGGGCTATATCAACGGTTTATTTGACTTTATCATGTTTCAGGGGCTGTATCAACAGTTTATTTGACTTTATCATGTTTCAGGGGCTGTATCAACAGTTTATTTGACTTTATCCTTTTTCAGGGGCTGTATCAACAGTTTATTTGACTTTATCATGTTTCAGAGGGCTGTATGAACAGTTTATTTGACTTGATCATACATCAGAGACACACAGACAGACAGAGGATATTGAATGGTTCGGCTTTGGTGGTAGAGTTTCGTTGTGCTCGCATTTACAAATTGTATATTCTGCAGTTCTATGTGATTACATACTCAAATAACACAAATTAGTCATTACGTGAACTAAAGAAAAAGTCGATTGTCAGAACTTGCTATCCAATAGACGTTTATTGAGGTCTGACTGTTATTAACGATTGCGACCTTGTGAATACCGACAGCTGCAACACGTCGGCTGTCGGTGCTCTGACTTAGGTCCTTCGGATTCATAGTTTCTCCGCCTAAAACTATGCAAAGGGTTCGTCCAGATTGTAAGACTTTGTAGTCAGTATTTGGTCAATAAAACCTGTTTGTATGTAGTGTCTGTCTCAGCTGTATGTATGTGGTGTCTGTCTCACCTGTATGTATGTGGTGTCTGTCTCAACCTGTATGTATGTAGTGTCTGTCTCAATCTGTATGTATGTAGTGTCTGTCTCAGCTGTATGTATGTGGTGTCTGTCTCACCTGTATGTATGTGATGTGTGTTTCACCTGAGTATATGTGATGTCTGTGTCCCCTATGTAAGTGGTGTCTGTTTCACATGTATGTATGTAGTGTCTGTCTCAGCTGTATATATGTGGTGTCTGTCTCAGCTGTATATATGTGGTGTCTGTCTCACCTGTATGTATGTGGTGTCTGTCTCCACCTGTATGTATGTGGTGTCTGTCTCAGCTGTATGTATGTAGTGTCTGTCTCAGCTGTATGTATGTGGTGTCTGCCCTCACCTGTATGTATGTGATGTGTGTTTCAATCTGAGTATATGTGATCTCTGTATCCCCTATGTAAGTGGTGTCTGTCTCAATCTGTATGTATGTAGTGTCTGTCTCAGCTGTATGTAAGTGGTGTCTGTCTCACCTGTATCTATGTGTGATGTCTGTTTCCACCTGAGTATATGTGATGTCTGTATCCCCTATGTAAGTGGTGTCTCTGTCTCACCTGTATGTATGTGGTGTCTGTCTCACCTGTATGTATGTAGTGTCTGTCTCAGCTTTATGTATGTGGTGTCGGTCTCACCTGTATGTATGTGATGTCTGTTTCACCTGAGTATATGTGATGTCTGTATCCCCTATGTAAGTGGTGTCTGTTTCACATGTATGTATGTAGTGTCTGTCTCAGCTGTATGTATGTGGTGTCTGTCTCACCTGTATGTATGTGGTGTGTGTCTCACCTGTATGTATGTGATGTGTGTTTCACCTGAGTATATGTGATGTCTGTATCCCCTATGTAAGTGGTGTCTGTCTCACCTGTATGTATGTAGTGTCTGTCTCAGCTGTATGTAAGTGGTGTCTGTCTCACCTGTATCTATGTGATGTCTGTTTCCACCTGAGTATATGTGATGTCTGTATCCCCTATGTAAGTGGTGTCTGTCTCTCACCTGTATGTATGTGGTGTCTGTCTCACCTGTATGTATGTAGTGTCTGTCTCAGCTTTATGTATGTGGTGTCGGTCTCACCTGTATGTATGTGATGTCTGTTTCACCTGAGTATATGTGATGTCTGTATCCCCTATGTAAAGTGGTGTCTGTCTCACCTGTATGTATGTGGTGTCTGTCTCACCTGTATGTATGTAGTGTCTGTCTCAGCTTTATGTATGTGGTGTCGGTCTCACCTGTATATATGTGGTGTCTGTTTCACCTGAGTATATATGATGTCTGTATCCCCTATGTAAGTAGTGTCTGTTTCACATGTATGTATGTGGTGTCTGTCTCACCTGTATGTATGTGGTGTCTGTTTCACCTGAGTATATATGATGTCTGTATCCCCTATGTATGTAGTGTCTGTTTCACCTGTATGTATGTGGTGTCTGTGTCACCTGTATCTATGTGATGTGTGTTTCACCTGAGTATATATGATGTCTGTATCCCCTATGTAAGTGGTGTCTGTTTCACATGTATGTATGTGGTGTCTGTCTCACCTGTATGTATGTGATGTGTGTTTCACCTGAGTATATGTGATGTCTGTATCCCCTATGTAAGTGGTGTCTGTCTCAGCTGTATGTATGTGGTGTCTGTCTCAGCTGTATGTATGTGGTGTCTGTCTCACCTGTATGTATGTGATGTGTGTTTCACCTGAGTATATGTGATGTCTGTATCCCCTATGTAAGTGGTGTCTGTTTCACATGTATGTATGTAGTGTCTGTCTCAGCTGTATGTATGTGGTGTCTGTCTCACCTGTATCTATGTGATGTCTGTTTCACCTGAGTATATATGATGTCTGTATCCCCTATGTAAGTGGTGTCTGTCTCACCTGTATGTATGTGGTGTCTGTCTCACCTGTATGTATGTAGTGTCTGTCTCAGCACTTGTATGTATGTGGTGTCGGTCTCACCTGTATATATGTGGTGTCTGTTTCACCTGAGTATATATGATGTCTGTATGTAAGTAGTGTCTGTTTCACATGTATGTATGTGGTGTCTGTCTCACCTGTATGTATGTGGTGTCTGTTTCACCTGAGTATATACATGTCTGTATGTGGTAGTGTCTGTATCACATGTATGTATGTGGTGTCTCTTTCACATGTATGTATGTCTGTTTGGTGTCTATATGATGTCTGTATCCCCTATGTGTGGTGTCTGTTTCACATGTATGTATGTGGTGTCTGTCTCTGTGTATGTATGTAGTGTCTGTCTCACCTGTATGTATGTGGTCTGTCTCAGCTGTATGTGTGTAGTGTCTGTCTCAGCTGTATGTATGTGGTGTCTGTCTCACCTGTATGTATGTGATGTGTGTTTCACCTGAGTATATATGTGATGTCTGTATCCCTATATGTAAGTGGTGTCTCGTTCACATGTATGTATGTATGTGGTGTATCTGTATCACCTGTATATATGTGGTTTCTCTTTCACATGTATGTATGTGGTGTCTGTATCACCTGTATGTATGTGGTTTCTCTTTCACATGTATGTATGTGGTGTCTGTATAACCTGTATGTATGTGGTTTCTCTTTCACATGTATGTATGTGGTGTCTGTATCACCTGTATGTATGTGGTTTCTCTTTCACATGTATATATGTGATGTCTGTTTCACCAGTATGTATCTGGTGTCTGTATCTCCTGTATGAAGCTGGTGTCGTTTTAGAATACGATCTCAGACGTGATGAAAAGCAGCTAAAACACTGGATAACATTTATCCTGGTTCTAATAATGAATGTTTGTAATATCCACTTCTCCACAGCACCTTGTTAGTTGGTGCAGACAACCGCCCCAGCAACACCGACAGGTGGCATTGGTTTGATCTGCCAGCTGTGTACATGAGTGATACGAACTGCTATCACTGTTAATGCGCACTGAGGCAGAGAGATCGATCAGGCCGTGTGTATTGTGGGTGTGCTTATCACCGTCATTACCCATCTCATCTCAATACACAACAGAACACCTTCATTACCCATCTCATCTCAATACACAACAGATGTATTCTCAATCATAAGTACATTTATTGACATTTTATTAATGCATTTGCACGACCTCCCACTGAAACAGAACTTTGACGTGAAAAACACAGTGATATGGCTGGCCTTACAGTGTCGAAGGTGCGGTGGGGTAGCCTAGTGGTTAAAGCATTCGCTCGTCTGACGATGATTCGGGTTCAATTCCATACATGGGTGCAATGTGTGCAGTCCTGGTGTCCTCTGTCCTGATATTGCTGAAATATTCATAAAGGTGGCGCAAAACGAGACTCACAAGCCAAGAATTGTCATTGCTAATTGTGCCCAAATGAGAAATTAAACCCGTGACATAACTGTGACAAGCGAAAATCTTAACACCTGGGATTCTACAACGTCCAGTTGCCATATACCCAGAACTGCATACAGCAATCAAACGGTTGACGAAGAATTATTCTAGTGCTATGTATATGACTGAAAATTTGCAATAGCTCAGAGTAATACGTCCAATTATGCACGTCGTGAGAAGGCGAATCGTCGTTCTATCCACATATATTCAGTAGGTTTGAGGTAAATTGACCGAACTGGCAATTTCCATACAGACAATCACCTCCAACTCTCTGTAGGCATTAACACCCATGACACGACGAGGTCGTGCAAATTCTTCCAAAAGGACGATTGCGTCAGCATAGGTCTCACGTACACACCCACAGTATAGGCCCTCACCTGTCACCGCACATCTGTCCCCGTACAGCTGTGTAGGATATTTATATTGCTTCTTTCATCGCTACTGATCCCACCCCATGTGTTGATTGAGCTACCCCAAAAACTCCATAGAATCACGATCTCTTCCTGCGTGTCACGGGCACAACTGGGAAGTCCTGACAGAAAATACTCGAGCCCTTCTTTGGTCTGGCCAATTGATGTGAACGTTAGCCCAATCAAAACTAGCCTGGATGGGATGTCGGTGGGATTCAAATGTATGTGCTCCGTGACCGATGTCTGAGCCTCACTGAGATGATTAGGCACCTGTCCTATTCTCTGTCATCAAAGGACGTTTTTGACACTGAAGATGCATAAATGATGATCTGCTCTCCATAAAAGTGCACCCAAATACTGTTTTTTAGGCACCTGATACATGTCGTAATATGTTTCATTGGTAAAATGTATTTTGATATGTTAGTCACGAGTGACCTCCGTTTCGTATTTTCATACGTTTCGCACGGTTGCTATTTTGTCACCCATCACACCCTCCCAGTAGTATTATTGGTTTTTGAAGTAAAGGGGGAATCAATTAAGTGTCCTTCTCCGCCCCGCATGTTGACACCTCTTTATGACTCATATTTGCTTGCTTAATCCTTATGTATCAACTTTCCATTCTTTTGACATATGTGTCGTTTGTTGTTTATACGACACGTTCAGATTGTTAAAAAGATGTTGATCACTGGATCGTCTTGTCCAGACTCGACTATGTACAGACCGCCGCCATATAGCTGGACTTTTGATGAGGACGGCGGTGCACAACAATCAAACAAACAAAAGCCTCACGCATGGGTTCCTCTGTCCGTTCATCATAAAACTGAGGCGCCCGTGGTTACCAAATCATCATGAAATTTCAATTTACTTTGGTTGGATTGTTTTTCGATATTATCAAGACCTGACCCTCTGCAAACTTTGAGTAGTATATATTAGTATATTGCGGCTGGTGATTATGATCGTAAACTCCATGACCATCAGTGTTAAACACTCAAGTATGTTGCAGCAGGTGGCGATCGCCCACAACATATGGGGCGAAAACTATGTCAAGCGGATATACCACAGTGGTAATCTACCTCCGATTACCGTAAACATAACCTGAACTACAATGGCCCTTGTTATTGCCAAGCATACTTTCTAAAGAAAATGACACAATCAATATGTAATAAAAATAGTGAAAACTGCGAACTTCTATCGTGATCCAATACGGCGCAGAGCAGGCATCCATGTTACAAAGTGTTCAAAAAGATCCATAGATATATGTGTGGTTGAAATACAACAGGGGCAGATTTGTAATAGAAAGCCTCACAGCCGTGGGTGGCAATTATTGGATGAAAGGTTAAACTATCAGGTTAGTCGAGAGCTAAACGTGCCAAAACACACCACAAGTTTTTCTCTATATGGTAGTGGTATATGAGTGTTGGTGTTTGGCTACACCCGGCTACACTTGACACAGTCTCTGCGTACCTCTTGGGGAGACGATACTCCACTATCAATACATTCCAATAATCTTGTCGTCATCACTGCAGATCATTTCATTTTCTAAAGTGGCTGAAGAATCGTTATTAGATACATTAAATACTCAGATGTATACATTTCAAGGAGTCACATCAGCCTAGTGTTACACGTTTCTCATATGTGATATCATCGATTGAAACAATCGACGTCAACATAGCAAGTATTGCAACAGCTTGTTGAACAAAATGAGTTCAAGTTAGATCCGAATGCACTCAACATAAAGGTACAGCATGGCGGATACTCAACCTGACCAGAAATCTCAAGCCTCGGAAGAAACTAAACATACTGACCAAAGCAAGGACGCTCCAAGCAAATCGTCCCCGAAGGAAAACAGCTCCTTGTTGGACTTCACGAGAGAAATCAAGTCCTATAAACGTCGGTGGTATGTTCTGGGCGTATTCGCGTATGCTGCGCTCCTCCAGGCAGGGATATGGAACACTTTCGGACCTATTGCTCAGTCAGCAAAGGCTGTGTTCGGGTGGACAGATGCCCATATAGCACTGTTTTACAACGGTGGGAATATTGGCTATTTTATTTTCATGTTTCCCGTGGCTTGGCTGATGGACGTGAAAGGTTCGTGCCTGTCTTATTATTGTCTTTGAATTGCCTCTCATCCATGAAAAATTGGACCTAGCTGCTTCTAGTTGAGAAATTAAGATAAAACCATTTGTATGTTTCACAATAATACCTAAGTTGATTTAAATTTGAAAATATATGGAAGCATAATATATGAGATGGAAATCTGTTATAGAGTGTGTCATGTACACATGTTCGATATACGTCCTAGGTATGTAACTCTGAAAGATAATTTGAAATATCATCCCAATGATAATTCCAATATCAGCGTCAATATCAAATTTAAATAACCAAATTGAGGGAAGCGTCACTCCGTATTAGAAAGATGAAATATAATATATTATTATAAACAGATGTGGAGCTAGTTTGAATTGATTTAGTATAGTTGATTTATATTACTTACAGTTGTCTTTGAAATAAATATCAACTCTAACTTTCTGTCAAACGGGAACCGGATATTTGTATGGTACTAATGCAAGCAGCGTAATTACCCGACAAAACCAACTCGAAACTAACCTGAAGTACCGTAGGATCGCACGTTCTCAGTAAAGTACAGATTCTAGCACTTTTAGGGTTGCCTCTCGCTTAGGCAGATATAGTATGACCAGAAATTATTGAGAATTTTAGGAATATGTTTAATTGGATTTCTAGTATAAACAACCTTGACCAGCTATCAAGTGCTTGGTTTCATTCAAGAGAGACAACTTCGTTAATCCTTTTCCATTAGTTTCTGAAGAGTTATCCCCCTTTGTTTACTTGCTAGCAGACGACATTTTCAGTGATCCTTAGTATGGATGATTTAGAGAGGAGGAAGTTGATTTTAGAGTATTACAAGAAGGACATCAGATCAGCTAAAGTGATTTCAAGTAGTACAGGCATCCCTTTGTCCACTGTTTATCGTGTTTTGAAAAATATTGCAAATGGATATGGCATTGAGCACCAGGGAGGTTCAGGTAGGCCCAGAAAATTGACTGTCGGTGCATGAGGCGGCTTGGTATTCTTGTTTCTAAAAACAAACGAAGGAGTTTAGAAAACTTAAGGCTGGATATGATTGATAGGGGAACTGTGGCTGTCTGTAAGGAGACAATTAGAACTGAGCTGCATGCAATGGGTTGGCAGAAAAGTCGAGGAATTCCATCACCGATCATGAAACCTGAACAAAAGGAGTGAAGGTTGAACTGGTGCTTACAGCATAGACATTTTAACTGGGACAATGTGATTTTCTCAGATAAAAGTTCTGTGCAACGCCCCTCTGAGTATTTGAAGGGAATATGAACAGTGAGCGGTACATAGATATTCTCGAGGGACATTTACTTCCATCTGCTCAAATGCCACCTAAATCTGCTCACGTGTTCTATGGAAACTTTTGGATTTTCCAGCAGGACAACGACCCAAAACATCGTTCAAAGCATTCACAGGTCTGGTTTCGGACCCCAAATATGACATTATTAGCTATAGATAGCCCTCACCTAAATCCAATAGAAAATGTTTGGGGACTTATGAAGGCAAGTGTCAATAAGAAAAATCTGACAAATATTGCTGAAATGAAAGAAGAGGTGGTCCGATATTGGGACAGCATAGACTTCTTTGATCAGTAGTATGCCCCGCCGCATTGAAGCCTGCATTGCTGCCCATGGTGACTTGACAAAATACTAACTGTTCACCTGTCTTTGAATCTGGAGTTATGTTCTGCTAATATTCACATTCAATACGTGAGTAATGAGTGAAAAAAAAAATATTTAAAAATTACAATCTTAAATTCTCAATAATTTCTGGTTGTACTGTATTTTATTGTAGAAACACTAGGGTACTAGGCTCTGTTCTACAAACCGATCTTTACGCTACGAGAATGGGAATCACGGTAAGATCGCTTTGAGACACGAAGCCCTGCTGTTAAAAGATACAATGCGTAATTAATATAATATCCTTCGTACTTTAAGAACTTGACGTGGTGGTTATCCTTTCCATCTGTAGGTCTGAGGACGTCGATGCTGGCGTGTGCAGTGCTGTTGGTGTTGGCAACGTCGATAAGGTGCATTACGAGCGAACCAGTACCAGCGACATGGTAAGCATAAAAAGTACGATCATCTTCTTTTGAGGTGATCAAGTTAAATTATCGGAGAAAACATAAAGCATGTGTTTCTTCTGTAGATCTATATTCATGACATTTTTATAGATCATTACACCAGTTTCAATGGAGCATGTAGGTAGAGTTGCACACAAACTTGATATTGAATCGAAGCTTGTGTAATACCGTATGTGACAGTTTGGCCTATACTTAGAGACATAAACGCATTGCGGCGGATTTTTTCGATAATGAAGCAGTATCATTTTCGGTTTTGTGTTACCAGTTTGATTTTGTGGACGCCAAACTGAGAGGCTGTAAATATTTACGCTTTAGCCATATTTTGTTTATGTGACCTTCTAAAATGTTGAATACAAAAACAATCCTTTATAACCTAATCAAATATATCTAACAAGGAATACTTCCTCCTTTAATGTGCCATGAGTATGACCTGATTGGACAAAAACAAGATCAAATCAAAATAATATTCCAGACGTTTAATAAAATGTTTTTAGGACAATTCTTCATTTTAGTAATCGTCAGATAGTAGTTGTTAGTTGCTAGTAATTGTAGACTAAAGTTAGTAGAATATTCATATGATGTATGACAATAGAACACCCTAATATTTATATCTGGCATATTTTAGTATTAGTAAAGAAAGATAACTGTCTGTTATGGAGAAGTGAAAATAGAATCACCAACATCGTGAGAAAGTCACAGAACTTGAAGGGGATATCCTTGATATAACTACTCCATATTGATGGATCCTATTCTCCAAGAGACTGTAACATGAGATGACACTGATGAGGTATCCGATATGAAACTAGGTTAATTACATCTCAACCTACATCTCTACCGCATGTGTGTTTGCTTCAAATGGTGTAAAATCCGGCTTTTGGCCCCATGTATAGCGATCCGGGTTGAAAAATACTGCTTTGTGTACCCAGATTACCTAATATACATGTGAAGGAAGCAGACATGGGTTCAATTACTTTGAAATGTAATTAATTAAATTACAATTACTTTGATTTTCCTCAATTACAATTACCAATACAATTACACCTTAAATTAAAATGTAATTAATTAAATTACAATTACATTACCAATGTAATTAATTACATTACAAATTACTTTGTTAAAAAACAAAAACCCAAAACAAATATATTTCTGTATTCCTTTAATCAACAACATATCGATGTTGGTAAGCAGTGGTCACTAAATCCAATTCATATTTTTGTCATCAAAAAGTGAAATGCAAAAGTAGATTATATCTACAATGTACACTATTTGATCAAGTTTGTATTTTGCATATTTCTTTGGGCTTATTATCAAATACACACCTCTATCATCTCTTGTTGCAAAAAACACTTTGTCCACCTTAGGTGTACTGTATCATGACATCATTACAGGCCTACATTACAATATAAACTCTGCCGGTCTCTCTATCTGACATAATCCACATTAACATACTAAAGGATTTGTCAACTTGGATTTATGGCTTATTACCTTTCATGATTATAAAAATAGGACTACAGTTCAGTAAGATTTTGAATATCATATCCTATGAGAAATAAACAAAGAGGCCACTTTAATAGGAACTTGACTAATAGTACTGTTAATCCCCCATTTCCTCAAATACCAACCTACATTCAGTCATGCGTTACTGATTCCCTTTGTTTCACCAATGTGCAGATGGTGATAGTTACAAAGGCTTAGACATTCAAATCTCTTTCAAAACGTAACACCTGCTAGAGTATATACCGACAACAAGCATCTTATTGAAAAACACTGCTTTGTCCTCCATATTGTACAGAATATAATTGCAAGGGTTGCCTGATGACCACCAAAATAAAAAAGTGAGATGTAATTTGATGTAACTGAAAAAGTAATTGAAAAATTCAATTACATTTAGATATTAATTAATTAAATTACAATTACAAATTACATTTTAAACATTCAATTACAAATTACATGCAATTACATAGATTTTTGTAATTAATTACATTCAATTACAATTACAAATTACAATTACCCCATGTCTGGAAGGAAGGCCATTTGAAGTTCTAATACATACTGTACGTTTGAATACATTTAGACGTCAACATAAAACAATCTGCCAGTTTTATCAATTTCTTTGGAACTCTCAGATAAAACGAGATTAAACGTGAAACACACAATAGAAACTAAATATTTCCCTCTATTTCTGAAATATATTTCTGTTTTATAACTAGAAAAACATGGTCAGCTCACTTCAGAGAGAAAATTGGATGTTTAAGAGAAGTCGATTTTGGAATTAATCACATTTTGATCAGGTGTGGTAATAAGGTGTGAAAGGATAGATTTTATATATGTTGCAATGGGGTAGATCTTTCCACCGTATTGGTTTTCACACACATGCATGTGTTTATGGTGGAGATGAATGTCAGATCTATGCTGGCTTTGTTTTCGAGAAGTCTGGTGATCGTGTGAAATACGAAAAACAGGCAATTTGTATGTAGTCATAATGAAAGTCGAAACATTGGTTAACCTCAAAATTATATTAAGAGAAATATGTGAACGGTAGCTTTTATGTGTATCGTGATATTTTACAACACCGTTGAAAAAGGGTTTCTTATAATTAATTTTGTTGAGAGTGACTTTTAGCAATATTCCAATATCACGGCGGGGACACCAGAAATGGGCTTCACACATTGTACCAATGAGGGAATCGAACCCGGGTCTTCGGCCTGTCGTGCAAACGCTTTAACCACTAGCTATCCCGCCGCCCCCATATACTTTATGATACCAGGAGCTCGACACTGCAAGGACGAAGAGAGATACATGTAGATACCATGCAGTGTTAAATGTTCACATTGATGAGTGCGAGCGAGGTTAGCTCTGCATCTGTAAGTTCTGCGATGACTATGCATGACTGTTCCTTATAATCAGATTCACCTTCCTGAATCATTCTTGCGTTTCAACGTGACAATGAATCATATACATTTCAATTTGCAGTAGTATTCCGCATGCGTTCATACACATAATTGTTTGGCATGGTTACAGCATGGAAAACTAAATTATATATGCTTGTTTTACAGTCAGATTAAAACAAAATGGAATGTAAATAGGCGCCAATGCAAAATCAACACCATATGTTGCTCCGGTACAAAAACAATTTACTGTAATAGGCGCGTAGATGCTTTTCCGAACAGACCTCAATGGAAGGTTGTTTTTTTTAGATAATTACACATATGAAACACAGCCATGCATTTGGAATTGGATATGATTGTTACTATTCAACTCATTACTTTTACTGAAAACCTTCTAGAAAACTCAGAAGTTTGAATATCATTAGCCTTGGGACCGTGACGAGCCAACTCTGGTATTCACTGCATCTGCGACATACTGTTGTGTTCACGCTGAAGCTCATGTTAATAATCACTTTTATATCTTACATGTATTCATGTGTTATTAACAGGTGCATATTATTTTGCCATAGAATAGCCGAAATTTCTGGAATAAATGATAATTTGTCACGGTTTACAAAACAATAAATGGCTTCCTGGACATGCTTGACATGCTTGGAAAATATTGAACTGTGGACAGAAGTTCTCGGAGGTTTTATCTCGTGAGAGAAAACCGTTGTATCATTTAAATTACGTAAGAAATATATTGTCTGTAGTACAAACCCAGGCCCTCGCATTCCAAAACGTTAACCCAGAATAATACATGATCGGTCCCAAAATCCTGTATAGGTGTATTGATATATGAAGCTATAATATAATCAAGATCCACACTTGACTCGCTTTTTAAAGAACTGTATCGAAGGCAAACTAGTGGTAAAAGACGTGAACTCGACATTGAAGACAACCAGGCGAGACTTATGTGAGTTCGTTGCTCACTGGCGAATCGTCTGAAAATTCCTATTTTGTGCACTTCCTGAACAGTAAACGTTAACAATAGTTATCTGTTCCACATCAGTGAATTTTATGTATCTGTTAGAATGCTTTACTGTCGTTGAACAGCGTGTGTAACAACATGGGAGAGTATTGCTTCATGTTGCAGCTTAGGATGGGAATATTTCTCTGTTATGCATCCTACAAGGGATGTTCTTCAACACATATGAATTTCCTTCACCAGGTTGATAAATATCTCAGCCGTGATGAATGGTGTAGCTGGCACTGTACCCATGGCCGGCCCCGCCCTCCTCTCCGCCACGTGGTTTCCCCCCAAACAGAGGGCCACTGCAACAGCCATGTCGACTGTTTTCTTCTACTTGGGCATGTCTCTTGGCTTCATCATTGGTAAGTTGGAATTAAACCTTGTTTATGAACAGTATCAGAATATCGGCAATTGTTTAGTTGAAGCCAATGATCATGTTTCAAATTCAGTATTCTCTTTAATGTATTTGCCTCAAACAGCTCTGAGTTCCTAATTTCACAGCAATTACTTCTACCCCATAGAATGAAAAATGCAACCAACAAAATAAGCTATAACGACGATGTTATTTTAACACTCGATAAAATATCCTCGAAATGAAAGCCAAGAAGTAGACAGCTGCAGGTGACCACGGTCGCATGTCAAATGACTTGTGTCAGCAGAAAATAGAAAGCCTACGTCATTTACACAAATGCACATGTGAGCTTTCAACTGAAAATATGTAAGTGGGCATGTTTAACCAAACATAGTAAAATATAGTATGTTTGATAGCTAAAAATAGACGTATCAAGAAATGGTACGTCGGTGGTGATGCATGTGATAGCTCTATCACAGTCGTGTTTTACAAATTAAAAGATTTCAACTGGTGACTCAGTAATTGTTTTCAGCCTAGTATGGCTTTGATAACGTTTGTAATTATAGTTTGTAAAATTAAGTTTTCAAGTGTATGGTATCTTTTCCGCGGCAAAATACTCTTCCGTCAAGTCTGGTGCTGGAGGTCAATGGTACAGCCATTTGCATGGCACCATCAATATCTCGTCCCACCCTGTCAGAAGGTCGGCATGTGAATCCAGAATAATATACATGTATCCGTAGAATTCGTAGATTTCACTGTATGTGTAAACCTCTACTTTGAGCTGGCCCCTTACACTAAGTTGGATGCGCGGAAGTGACACAAATACTGGAAAAATACGTCAATGTACCACAAATACTTCTAATCATATACACTCCTCCAATGTGCGGCCTGGAAAATATAAAGAGGGAAATATTTAGTTTGAACAGATATATTCAGAACTCACATCTGTAATGTCCGAAAGGTCATGACCAGGTGGTGTCATGCCAGCACTGATTCCCATGTAACAAAGGGGGTTAACTCATCCAAGTCCATCGGTTAAATATCACACAAACATTTGCATCTGGTGATGTCAAAAGGCCGATGATTGTCGATTTTGGACTGTCAAGATGCGTGACCTTGACCTGGATTGAGGTCATCGTGCCCGTCGCGTGTCTTGTTGCTCATGTTGTCAACCGATGAATATGGAGCACCCCAACCCTACCACCCCTCTGACCCCACCCTCCCCTCTCTCGCAGACTCGAATATTTTATCATATGACAGTAATATTGGTTGGTGATGCATACAAACCTGCATTACCTAATTACGGATAGTTTCATCACATCCGATGTCATGTTTTCCATCTGTTGTTCACAGGTCCCCTCCTGGTACCAGAACCAGGTGGGTCGTTCTTGAGTGTCGGCCAAATGCTTCATCTGAAGTAAGATCTGTTCGTTTGTGTTTGTATCAGTTATCGGGATAGTGTTTGAAGTTCTGTAGATGTATTGACCCGCATGAATTCAGGATATTAACACTATGTGTTTTCAGATTTGACAATGTTTTTAGCATCGATTAGGAAAGCACTTCAGGGGAGGACCTCGGTTCCGAGTAATGTTTCCGGACATCAAATAATCAAATCATCCGAACATATCGTTACCTTACACTCTATGTGAAGTACAGTTTATTGGTTTGCTTTGAAAATACCCATAACGCTGTTCTTGTAAATACGGATTACTCTATACAATAAAAACCAAAGGTTTTTGTCCTTTCAAATATGGCTTTGAGACAAAATATCAAAAGTACTCGCAGTAAAAAATCCAAATTTATTGTTCTGAACCCCTGCCATGTAGTTTACAACATTGTTTGCCCCGTCAGAATGCAAGCAGGGTCGAATAACTAGGTCATCTACGCATGCACGAATGGTGACGGTTTTAATATCAGTAACCGTGATCGCGCTACTGAAATGATGTTTCACTTACAGATTGGCGTGGGTTTCATGTTACGAAGTCTTTAATCGATTTGCTTATAACAACAATAAAACAAAATTAGGTGAACCGATCTACTAAGGTTCTTATCGCAAAATGTGTGTGCCTCATAAAAATGAAGTGTGTTGATGTTAGTTTCAAATCGTTTCCCATTACTTGACGTCATCTTCCAAGACCCTCTCTTCATCCTTCACTTCAGTAATACTTCTGTACGGTTCAAACCACACCCATAACTAAGATATATGGTTACAGCACATCTGTCCGGAAAGATGAAGGAGCCTATGTCCACACTTCAGCCACTGACCTTGTCGCGGAAAGAGACGGTATCATGAAGCTCATGTATGTAGGTGCGTATAACTTAAAGTAACTCTTTTCTAAGATAGAGGTAATCAACTGTTTTGACCATGCGTTACTTGTACATATGAACGTTATTCGGTAGATATGTCTCTTGGCGTTTCTTTGTGTTATTCACGCCCACGCTACCCCGCAAGATGCCAACCCTACTGGGAGTGCTAGACTAAATGAGGATCGGTGGGTCTCAGTACCTGCCAGTATGCAGCTGATGTAGGAACAACAGGGAAATCGAATTACCACCTGTGACCGAGCCGCGCGCCGTTGTGCCCGTAGCCGCTGTTCGTTGTCACACTATTGATCCAATATCACAGTTTGCTGGGGCGGATACAACCCAAGGTGGGGTTGGGTGCGCAGTTCATTTTCACCGGTTTCACGAGAGTTTCAGTGGTCATTTAATACATTTTCAGGACAAAAGAAGGTGTGCAAGTGGTGTAAAACTTAACGTTTACTATCATTTCACTGGATCGACATTTCACAGAACTTTTGTGTACTTTTGTGCATGAGTTTCACCCCGAATATATCTTAATATATCATTGACTGGGTGTTAAAATGCTTGACTCCCTTCAATGTCCGATCTCTCTTCCCCACCGGTGCAGGTTTATTATTATACAAGAGCCTAGCAGTATCCCCTGAGTCTGGAATAGTGCTTGAAGTGATGTAAACACCCATATCTCATACTCACTCTTAGAACGGCCTGATGTCTGGAGATAAGGCATTTTTTTCAAGATTTTTGGCCCCCAAAAAGGTATTGTCTTCAACATCCGCTATATATGTTTATGATGTATGAAGCCAATTCTTTGTGTCCCTCATCGTGAAACAGCAAACCGTAAAACGTCACTCACTGACTCACATGTGTTTACTACAGAATGTGCGGCGTGTGTGCTGTTGCTGCTCCTGGTGGTGGTGTACTTCCCCGCCAAGCCCCCCTCTCCCCCCAGTCTCACAGCGTCTATGGAAAGGACAAACTATCTTGAGGGGCTCAAGGGACTTTGCACGTAAGACATTGTTTCCAACTCTTTAAGTCAGTGATTGATCGAACTTGATTTACCACTATGTTTCTTGTCTCATATTATCAGTGGACGATTCTATTCGGATTTCCCCTTGTTTTCACCAGTAACCGTATATGGCATGTATTGCGGTGTTTCGTATAATGCGGCAGTAGATCAACTGGGACGTCAAAACACTATAGACAAAACGAATGTCCAGAAACATACGTGACGCAAAAACTACCAATAATCTATCTACGTAAGGAGATGCCAGTGCGACGTTCCTAACATATGCTCAATACTACCGCCAGAGACAGATATATTATTGTGTACCTTGATGGATTTTGAGAATGATTGTTTGTTAAAAGTTATTTAATGTGATCAACGGCCATAACAATACCTCCAAATGTTTTTGCAAGTAGATGGAAAGTTTCTCAGTCAGAATTATCACACTATAACGTTAACCATTCTAAAAAGCGAAATTTTTGGAATTCCAGACACAGGCGCTTCCTTTTGATTCTAACCGCCTACAGCATCCCAGCCGGTGTATACAGTGCCTTTAGCGCAGTCCTCGACGTAAACCTCAACGGCTTAGGAATAACACAGGTAGATGGCGCCCTCCTCGTATGTTTGAGTTGCTCAACCTAAAAAAAATTACTATAATCATCATATTTGGCATGAAATATCCATAATAATTCATTTGCTGAGATAAAAATATCAATTCTCTGCAGATTTTCAATTAAACAAGTCACTTGACAACTCCCTGTACATAGTCCAGAATGTAGACATTTTACGTGCGTATCGTATAGGTAAACAAGGGAGATAAGTCTAGTGTTATTTCGGCGAAGATTTCAACACGGCAATATTACGTAAGTCACATCACTTAGTTTGATAACGATGTTTGTATCCACATCGAAATTCAACACTGTATATTTTGTAATAAAGTTATATATATCTACAGAATTACCTCCCTCGTTCATTATATCAATAAACAAATGCCCTTTATACGATTTATCATATAGGAATTCAATGTTTATTTAACAAAAGGAGGTCATTGATCCTTGTAAAAAATGTCAGCATCAAGAATCACTTCGGTTCCAAGCGCCAAGTCTTTATTTTAAAATATAATCCAACCCACTTTTATATGTCATTTACGTTGTCAATTATCTGCCCCTGTGCGCTCACAGCTGTACATCGGCGTACAGAAGTATTCGTAGTATCGCATGTAACTGTTTCAGAATCATGCCGGCTGGATTGGGTTCTATGCCACGATTGGCGGTTGTTTTGCGGCGCTGATCATGTCAAGGTACAGTCACAATACGGTCGTTTCTGAGCGCATTGAGGTTGAAAATTAAACATGCAACTTTATGGATGACAACTTTTTATTTATTGCATATCAAGCTAAAAGTGTAAGAATCTACATCGAAACGTCGCTCTATGCAATAAATAAGAAGTTGTGATTAATAAAGTGTATTTTTCATTTTTGACACACCAATTTCGGGAATGCCGATCAAAGAGTTAGCCATGGGGTTGTTTTAGTATCAAAGGTAGATCTGTGTCAGCCTTGTTTTGCAAGGATAGAAATTTCCCAATCGAGGAGGTATAGAAATGACACAGGATGGTTTTAGAAATGTGACTTTTAGTTTAAGAACACACACATCCATGGGTGATCAAAGTTTAAATAGGGTTCAATTACAGAGGTGTTCTCAGATCCTCAGGCACAGAGTGAAGAGATATCGTTGAGATTGGTCAAAGTTAAATATTATCATGAATAGTTATATCCAGACGTATGTTGGAGCATATATATCTATATACACATGTGATCAGTGATAAATGTATCTACCTGAATCAATGATCGACGGATCGTTAATAACAGTTGTATGACTTCGCCTAACCGTTTAAAAGTACTGACATACTCCCTCACTCACTCCATCACTCCAGGATCGCCGACATTTTGATGTACCGCATGAAGTGTCTGCTGCTGTTCCTCTTCCTCCTGGCTGCAGTATCTACGATCTGGTTCGTCCTGCTGCGCCTGTCCTTCATCCCCTTCGCCATGTGTGAGTCCGCCTTTAACCCAGCATCACAATCAGATAATCAATATTCGAATACTACAGGTTATTCACAATCTGAATTATGATCTCAGGCCATTCTGATGTACATCTTTTCCTATTTGTATCCCTTCTGCCAGTGTACCTCTACATATCGTCCATCCTGGTTGGCGTGTTCATCAATGGCTCTATACCGCTGTTCTACGAGCTGGGGTGTGAAGCGTCTTACCCTATAGCTGAGGGCGTGACGGCCGGGATGCTGACCTCCATGTACAACTTGGCCGGAATCATCTTCTTGTCTGTCCTCATGATACCTCATATAGGTCAGCTACTAGACTCACGCCTAGTCTCTGAATTTATATACATTTGATAGCAACAAATAAACCCATTTAAATTGAAAAGGGGCCCAGTCAGATGAGAAATTGAACCTGAGGGAATCAAGACTTCATTAAGGGTTTTAGTATTGCGGAGAGGGCTTGGCAGTAGGGAAAATATTATATTATGGTTCAGGGACTGTGAGAGACTAGTCAGCTATGTCCCGAAGCCTGGACAAACCCATTTTAACTAAGCTGATGTTATAAGATACAGTAAACTATGGCTATACCGAACTAAAAGGGGGGCGTTAGTTTTTACTCGATATTATCGCGTTCGTCATACGCTCCTCGACTGAAATATACAGCTTTTGCCTGGAACCCATAATAGCCATTTCGTTATATCCGTCAGTTCGTTATAAGCATATTCGTTACAAACGTATTGTATAATGTTGTGTGTCCGTACGAATGCCGGGGCGGTGGGGTAGCCCAGTGGTTAAGGCGTTGCTCGTCACGCCGAAGACCCGGGTTCGATTCCTCACATGGGTACAATGTGTTAAGACCATTTCTGGTGTCCCCCCGCCGTGATATTGCTGGAATATTGCTAAAAGCGGCGTAAAACCAAACTCACTCACTCACTCCTACGAATGCCATTTTCTGGATGCCAAGGTATATTATTTAATTGACAAGGTAATATAATCAAATCTATTTGTTTCGTACGAAGAAACATCAGATTCGTCTTACCTTCCCGTTTCGCTTTACGTACTAATACATTGCTCATCTGGCTCGGTCTATGAACAAATATTCATAATCTTAAAATATTTGATCAATTCTGATTCATAGACACAGTTACATCTTACAGTAAGCAGTATGATAATCTGTGTTTATATAATACTTTGTTTTATGCTTTATCATATTCATGTTTATTCATCATTATCATTTCAAATTCCAGGTGTCCAATGGATGAACTGGTGTCTTCTGGGGACAGTGATATTCGCCATACCACTACTTATAATCTTCAAAGCTCAATATCCTCGGACCAACTTAGACACAAAGGATATACCTCAACCAATACCCAGTAGTAGTGAAACAAAGACAGACAACACTGAAACACGGTGATGAACAGCCGTCCATCATATCATACATCTCGGAATACAGCTGTTATTACGTGTCTGCTGTTTTCTTCGAAATGTTAATTAGGAAACCCAAACATATCAATATATTCCTATTTTGTAAGCTGACTGTGATTTATATTATGTGATATGGGACTTGGCAATACATATATTCATATTAAAAGACACCTCAACACAGTCGGTATGGTGCCCAGTGTTTAAAGGTGAAGACATGGTTACACTGACAGTAGTGTGTTCCTGATCTTCCAGACAGTTACTGACCTTGCACTATACGTGATACCTCAGTACTATACAGGAAGCTCCCAGGACAAAGGGGGAATACACAATCTAATGTAAACAACGAGCCATGATTATATAATATGTATGTTTATATGTATATACATGTACTACTCATGCGTAATAATACAGGGTAATGTGAACACGTCCTTTCTATCAGGGAATATTCAGAGTAGTGTATACACCCCGGTTCTATCTGTGAATCATTGCAATGATGCAAGCTGCTACGTACACCGCATGCAATCGGTGATTCCTGGGTTGAAATGATTCATGCTAGTGTTACCACCAGGTTCCCTAGGTGAAATGATTCATGCTAGTGTTAAAACCAAGGTCTCAGGGTGAAATGATTCATGCTAGTGTTACCACCAGGTTCCCTAGGTGAAATGATTCATGCTAGTGTTACCACTAGGTTCCCCAGGAGAAATGATTCAGACTCGTGTTACCACCAGGATCCCAGGGTGAAATGATTCATGCTAGTGTTACCACTAGGTTCCCCAGGAGAAATGATTCATGCTAGTGTTACCACCAGGTTCCCTAGGTGAAATGATTCATGCTAGTGTTACCACTAGGTTCCCTAGGTGAAATGATTCATGCTAGTGTTACCACCAGGTTCCCTAGGTGAAATGATTCATGCTAGTGTTACCACTAGGTTCCCAGCCAGGGTGACATGATTTGTGGAAGTGTTACCACTAGGTTCCCCAGAAGAAATGATTCATGTTACCACCAGATTCCCAGCTAGGGTGACACGATTCGTGCAAGTGTTACCAACTTACCACTAGGTTCCCCAGAAGAAATGATTCATGTTACCACCAGATTCCCAGCTAGGGTGACACGATTCGTGCAAGTGTTACCAACTTACCACTAGGTTCCCCAGGAGAAATGATTTATGTTACCACCAGATTCCCAGGGTGAAATGATTCATGCTAGTGTTACCACCAGGTTCCCTAGGTGAAATGATTCATGCTAGTGTTACCACCAGGTTCCCAGGGTGACATGATTAAGGCTTGTGTTAACAACTTACCACCAGGTTCCCAGGGTGAAATGATTTATGTTACCACCAGATTCCCAGGGTGAAATGATTCATGCTAGTGTTACCACCAGGTTCCCTAGGTGAAATGATTCATGCTAGTGTTACCACCAGGTTCCCTAGGTGAAATGATTCATGCTAGTGTTACCACCAGGTTCCAAGGGTGACATGATTTAGGCTTGTGTTAACAACTTACCACTAGGTTCCCCAGGAGAAATGATTCATGTTACCACCAGGTTCCCAGGGTGACATGATTAAGGCTTGTGTTAACGCCAGATTCCCTAGGTGAAATTATTCAGGGTAATGTTTGCTCTAAATTCCTCAAAAGGAACTTTCAGTGTAGCGTTTTCACTTACCATGACACCATTATAAGTTTGAGTCCTCAAAAACATTACGACCAGTTACGTTTATGAGTTCTGCAACAGCATATTCCTCACCAATTAGATCACTACCACATATACTATAATTATGCATTATCAATTTCGAATGGTCATTGAGATATTTACTTAATTGTAATAATCTGTATCATATTTTATATGCATTTCATATATCAAAATCTCTTTTATTTTATTTTATCAGATGATCTAATGTAATATATGTCTTATCAAAGATCACAATAAAAGAAAAAAGGTGCAAGAACTCTCGCTTTTATTCGTTCATTTCTTTGAGTACTATAAAGTCTGCGCATTATATATTCTATTTATCCTGTCACCAAAACATAGGATCACACGCTTAATTGACCCTTCAAAATGAATGTTATTATTTGATATTTTCATGAACTGAAACTGATGCCACCGTGTTGCCGGTCCGGTGGGGTGGCCCAGTGGTTAAAGCGTTCACTCGTCACGCCGAAGACGCGGGTTCGATTCCTCACATGGGTACAATGTGTGAAGCCTATTTTCTGGTGTCCCTCCGCCGTGATATTGCTGGAATATTGCTAAACGCGGCTTAAAACTAAACTCACTAAACTCACTGCGGTGCATGATGCAATGTGTCATAAGATTTTGTTTGCTAAAAATATGACACAGTCGTAAGGTATTTTTACCAGGCACTGCAACTGTAGTTGTCGCTCGTCAGCTCCGGGTTCGATGCCCCACAAGGGAACAACATGTGAAGCGCATTATTGGTGTCCCGTGATATTGGTGACATATTGCTAAAAGCGGCGTAAAACGAAACTTCACTCACTCATGCTCAAATATCCATTTAGATAATTTCAACGTCAAGCTGTCAGTAACGCGGATGATCTGCGGATGATCGGTGTTACTGACAAAATAGGTTGTAACCCGCAACAGTTTCATAAAAGCGGATTAAGCTGAAGCAACACACATATGCAGATTAGTGACTGCTGATCAGTGACCCAGATAAATCCCAGGAACGGGAACGCCAACACAACCCAAACACGGACTCTGCTGTCAGTTTACATATACAGCCCAGCTGTACTATGATGGATATTTGTTTAAATGTGCATCAAACGTTATTGTCAGTTTCAAGATGCTAGCCGAAAAGGTTACATCTGTGCATGGAGATTGAGAGTGACCCCCCCCCCCAAAAAAAAAATCCAAAAAAAATCTACAAAACTGTGACAAACGGGACTTCAGTTTTAGTTACTTTCTTTTTTCTGTCGAACCTCTGTTTGAAATGATTTTCAGCAACCGATGCTTGTCTAAGAGGCGACAAACGGGATCGGGTGGTCAGGCTCGCTGACTTGGTTGACACATAGCATCGTATGCCAATTGCGTAGATCGAAGCTCATGCTGTTGATCTCTGGATTGTCTGGTGCAGATTCGATTATTTACAGACTGCTGCCATATAGCTGAATATTGCTGAGTGCAGTGTTAAACTAAACTCACTCACTCAACTTTCTGTCGAGCAATAGACCAGCAGATAAAGCCTTTGTTGTCTACTCAACAATGATCAGTGATCCTCAACACACCCTGGTATACATAGGACATAGAGCGCCGTGTTGAGCATGATGCAACCCTGGGCTAGTAATAACCAATACATCAGCACTTACAGTGCCAAGAAACTGAAACATCTTACATAGGTCTTGTAAAGAGCAGTTTTTGGCATACACAGAAGGCATTTTATAACAAAATATTAATATTCTAACGAAACGCCATCTGTTTCTAAGCACAAAGTGAAATACTTAATATTCAGTTATTTGGAAACTGATTATGTAAATAGAAGCCACAAAGCACTTTCCACATCCAGAAGAAATCTTTGCTAAAAGCAGACCGAGTCAATTGTACAATTGGGACTATAGCATGAGTATATATTTGTTTCAGCAGTATTACAAATCGAGTCTGGACCAGACAATCCAGTGATTGTCACCATGCGTTACGACTTTTGTAACTGGTCCGTGGTAACGACTGTTTAACCCCCTTTCAAATGCCTTCGCTGCTTCTTTGTGTCATGAAATCCTCCATGGTTCAGTGGATAGAGCGCCTGCCCACAGACTATGTCACGCGTTCTCCAACCTGAGATGTTGAATCCTTCAGTCGGACATTTGAAACCAAACATCCCACAGATGTGTGCAAAGGCGAAATACGTTTTCTTAAGGAACAGTATATTGACCTGTATCGGAGTCACAATGTACGTTGTCGGTTTATCTTTCAGGAAGCCTGCCCAGCACCGTAACGCTTTATGTGACTCATCTTGATTTGACGTCGGTCACCCAAGAAGAACGCCATCCTTCACACCTGAGTAACCTGTGCAGGCGAATGAAAAGCGGGTTACTTACTTTTGATTCGTACTGTAATATAGACTGATATGCTCACACTGTGTGAATATGTAGACCAGTGTGTTAACAATGCTATATCTCGGTAGTTACATACTCGAACTGTTTACGGCATGTGTTGAGTAATATGGTTATCCGATACGGCTTCTCCATTGTGACGCAATCATGCTGCGGTATACGTAGCGCGAGACGATGACCGTTTGACCCCTTGGAATTAGCTCGGTCAGTGGTTTTAAAGAGAGGAGACCTGCTATCCCGCCCTCCGTCACAACCAATTCGGAATAGCAAAATGGAGGACAAGGAGCGTATTGAAGATCACCTACCTGTGGTTGACGGAAACAGACTACGAAAAGCACATAGCTCCAACTCATCCCAGAAGGTATCAGATGAAGACTCTCCCTTGTTGGACTCCACGAGGAACATTAAGTCCTACAAACGACGGTGGTATGTTCTCGCTGTGTTCTCGTATGCTGGGTTTCTTCAGTCAGTAGCGTGGAACACTTTCGGACCTATTGCTCAGTCAGCTAAGGCTGTGTTCGGGTGGTCGAATGCCAATTTAGGCATGCTGAACAACTGGGGGAATATTGTGTACATTCTGTGCATGTTTCCAGTTGCCTGGTTGATGGATATGAAAGGTAGGTATCTGTCCGTTATGTGACATGTGTTTGAAAAGGTTATATCTTATACGCTCAGTTGTACTGTCTGCATCCAAAACTGAATATTGAAATAACCTAATTCAATACACGAGAGACATTAAATGCTACAGTCCGTTTGAGTCAGAAACGGACCGATGAATTGCAAATTTTATCATTGTACAAAATTGCCACATAAATATAAATAGTTCACATGTTTATCATTTACTAATACCCAACAGCATTCTTATATTTGAAAATTGTCCGGACTCAAAAAAGGTTCTTTAAGAAACTATCATTAAAAATTTGACACAGTTCACTATTTGTTACGAGGGAGGAGTGCAGAGAAGGGACAGCCAGGTGTTAGAGAAGCACGTGCACAAGTGCCCACCAAGTAATTGATTCATTAGCCTGTGCCGTGCCGTCTCCATCCTTTCTCGCACACCTGGCTGTCCCTTTCTCTGCACTCCTCCCTCGTAACAAATAGTGAACTGTGTCAAAATTTTAATGATAGTTTCTTAAAGAACCTTTTTTGGTGGAGTCCGGACAATTTTCAAATATGAGAAAACTGTTGGGTATTAGTAAATGATAAACATGTGTACTATTTATATTTATGTGGCAATTTTGTACAATTATAAAATTTGCAATTCATCGGTTCGTTTCTGACTCAAACGGACTGAAATAAGCCTTACAATGAACTGACCCGTGAAGATCCGAGTTAGAATTGGCCTTCAGTAACCCATGCCTGTCGAAGAGGCGACAAACGGGACCGGGTGGTCAGACTCACTGACTTGGTTGCACATGTTATCGTACCCTTATTGCGTAGATCGATGCTCAAGCTGCTGATCACTGGGTTGTCTGGTTCAGACTCGATTATTCACAGACCGACGCCATATAGCTGGAATGTTGCTGTGTGCGGCGTTAAACAACAAAACAGCCAAGCAACAATGAACTGAGCGTACATACCATGTAGACCAGTGTGGAAACTATTGCGATCATAACAACTGGCATCC